GTTGCTTTTATTATATTTGAACGTATAATGCCAGACGTATGGAAGCACATTTGTGCAAAAATAAGTCTAGACAATAAAAACAGTCGTATTACATGGTATTATACATTACACATTTAATGTAAATGAATAACAGAAATATATCATTGGCAACTAAGCGAATGCGATACTACACTATCGATGCACAAATTATCGTTCATGATTTTTCAGCAATCATTTCTGACATAGTAACAGAGAGAAGGAAATAAAGCTTTTGAGGACAAGGGCACCGCATTCAAAAATTCCATGTTGGTTATGAACAGGCGCACTGCATGATCCTCCTTCGAGCCTTTCTTCTCGCTCATTTTCATTCGGCAACTCAGAGGGAGACCCTCATTACTCGACCGGCAGCCCTCGAGAGGTGCACAGACTTCCCACAGATTACAGCCAGGCGTCATGCCGGCTCTTTGATTGGTTACTTCTTAGTCATCGTAGTCGATGAAGTTTTCCGTTTATTAACTTCTCGACAATGTTAGATCTTGGTTCCACGTCCCTGGGTAAACGATTCTCTTCTGGTGTCCCACAGGATCGCTTCCGGCGTTCATCCAGGAGCCCCAGAGGCCCTTGATGGAGTGCGTCAGGTTGGGGGAGTTCTCTCGGGATTCCTTGGTCACAGGCGAGGATCTCCGCTGCATCCGCGAAAGCAGAGAGCTAGGATCGGCCTTGTCGAACTGCTTCATCGTGTTTGCGGAAGTGGGCTCCTCTGCGAAACTTGTGACAATGCTTCCTCAGGGAGGCGAGGTGTAGGCGTCAGTTTAAGTCTGGAGGAGAAACATAAGTGCAATTGCTAGAAATTGGTGTGTATATATAATGAAAAAATCCAGTTTAGGTTAGCATATTAATAACTAATCTCAAGTAGTTTTGATATAAGGAAATATAAGTCGACATTTATTTAAACTGACTTTGTAATGAGAAGCAAAATTATTCTTGCAATAGTACAAACAAAATAATTGTTTGAATACTAACCGAAGATTTCTCAACAAACACAAAATGATTTTTCAGTGGAAGTTCTTATCAAATAGGAGCTGCTTCTGGACACAGATGCCTCGCTCTCAGAAGTGCAACAGAGGTGAAGCAAGCCCTGCCGCTGACTGCCTTTATATATCCCTCAGTGCTCTGACGTCATAAGGCAGGCTGAAAAGTTGTGCCATATAAACACACCGGTTTATTAAAGCTCTGCTTTCATATAGCTTTGGGTTTTAGGGCCAGTTTATTTTCCAAACATACTAATATTGTACGCTGAGTATAATGATACATACAAATGATAGTGATGTACATTGTACTTTAAATTATATTTCCTGCAACGTCGTAATGTCTGGCTGACCGAAACTTTTCATGTGATCAGTCGACCTGACACTGTTTTGACATATTGATTACGCACACAAATATATACCTATAATCACATTTATTCATCAATATTCCAATGCATTCATAGTTCAATTAAATTGGGTTATATTATTTGTAATGTAGCAATTAAACTTCTCTTTTCTGTGTATATAAGTACGCGTAGCTAAGCATTGTCACGCACCTACGATCTATTCCCGGTAGCAACGCAAGCACGAAAGTAGCACCACACAGGAAAATCAACACGAAAATGTGGCAACACAGCATCACCCGATCAGCTGGGCCAAGCCTCGCTTCAGCCGCTTCGCTGGTCGCCCTGTCGACCCTCACTCGGCCCTGCTCTCCCCGCTCGCAAAACGAAGGGAAAGTCTTCACTTCATACCATACTTCTCCCCATAAACCTCGCACCAATCTCTTCATCCCAACTCCCATCCCATCCTGCCCTGTCCTCCCCATCAGATCCAGACTCTATTCTCTATCCGTTCTCTCTAGCAGAATTAGTAGGCCTCCTTTCCTTTCTTTTTTATCGAAGCTCATGGAAAGCTCCTTTGAGTATATTTGGTATGTTGTCTTGTGTTGTTCATTCTCTTATAAACACAAGTTCTCATAAGAATTTCAACATCACCTTTCAAACTAAAAAATCTGCTTTCTTCCACACAACCAAACCTGCTCTGTGAAATATACCCATTACTTTATCTTACCTTTTATCCCTCACATTGCCACCCCTCTGACAACCCCGCTTCCCCCACTTTCCCACCTCCCTCATAATCCCCTCCCCCTTTCCCACATCCCTCACAGCACCACCTCCCGCCTTTCTCACATCCCTCACAGCACCACCTCCCGCCTTTCTCACATCCCTCACAGCTCCACCTACTCCACATCCCCACATCCCTGACTGCCCCCCCCCCCTTTTTCCTACACTCCTCACAACCCCACATCTCGAGACCCTCATATGAAATCTGCTCTTCATTTGCACATCCCTCCTGGAGAAATTACCCTCGTCTCTCTTCCTCGAAACCTTTGAGCCTTCATATGCCCACCTTCACACAACCTTTCACATCCCACTTGCCTCATCTACCCACGCGTCTCGCTTTCCTTCAATCCGAACTACCCTCAACCACATCTAACCAAATACCTGACCTTCGCTTTATATCGGGCTAGCAAGGAAGCATTCCTGAAGCCTTGGGTCGCGGGCCGGACTCCGCGACCCTTACAAACAAGCAAGCACCTGCAAGGCTAGAATTAGCAACGATGCAACAGGCATTTGGGGGAGGTGTTGGTCGACTGGGATTGATGGAGGAGAGTTAAGGATTGTGGAGCACTGTGGGAGGAGAGGGGAAAAGAGAGTGGGAGACGAAGAGAGAGATGTAAAGAAATAGTGATGGAGTGAAATAAAAAGATAAGAGTATAATGCGAAGACAGTATGAAACTAAAAATCATAGCAACATGATAGCAACGATAACATTAATAATAATGGTGACAATGATGACATCATCACATCCTCATCCTCTACACCATCGTCTTCTTCGTCATCATCACCTTCGTCATCGTCATTAGTCTCTTCCTCCTCATCATCATTATCATTAGTATAACAAATAATAACAACAATAATAATAATAATTATAATAATAATAATAATAATTATTATTATTATTATTGCTGTTATTATTATTATTATTATCATTATTATTATTATTGTTATTATTATTGTTATTATTTCTTTATTATTATTATTAATATTATCATTATCTTCATCATTATCATCAACATTATGATTGTTGTTATTTTTACTGGTATTATTACTACCATTCCTACTACTGCTACTAATAATACGATTATGATTATTTTTGCTCTTATCACTGTTATTATTTGTTATTAATATTGTTATCATTATCGTCATTGTTAATATTGTTATTATCGTTATCAGATTCATTCTTATTATCATTACTAGGATTATCATTATTATTTTATTATTTTTTTATTATTATTATTATTACTATTATCATCATCGTCATCATTATCGTTTTCATTATTAATATTATAATTATTAGTGTTATTAGCATTGTTATTGTTATTACTATATATACTCATATAGTTTTACCATGATCATTATTGTCATTATTACCATCTCAATGATAAAATTGGTAATTATTATAAATATTGTTAATATTATACAATGATAATAATAACAACAATGATAATAATAAAATAATAATTGATAATGATATTGATAACAATGATAACGATAATGATGATTGATAATGACAATGATGATGATGGTGATGATGATGATGATGATTATGATGATTCGAATAATAATTATTTTTATCATTATTATTACTACTACGTTTTACTACTATTACTATTACTGTTACTATTTTTCTTGTCACTGTTATCATTACTATATATTAATCCTACTATTACTATTAGGCCTACTGTTACAATTACTATTACAATTAATTACAGTTATTACTGCTTTTATTAGTAGTAGTGTTGTTGTATTGTTATTATTAGCTGTTGTATCATTATTTCACTGACGACCAAGAGAGCGATCAAGCAATCATCGTCACATGGGCCTGAATGCTTAGAAATATAATGCTTTGCGGAGGACAGGTTTTGCCAGCTACGTTCTTCAAAAAAGTCCTTTTTTAGGGCATCTACAGCTTGCTTACGGTGAATAACGGATAATACCGTCGCTGCAAACTATAACTTCATTTTGTTTGTTATACTATTATTATCATTATTGTTATTACTATTATTTTCATCACTATCATTTTCATTACCTTTACTATTATTATATTTTTTTTATTATAATTATCATCTTCATCTTTATCATCCTCACCTTCATTATTATTATTGCCATTAGTATTATCATCGTCAAGTTCATTCCTTTTCCCTTTTTAGGTATTATTTTGGTCTTTGTAAATACTAGGATATTTCACAGATTTGTGTATATTTAATCACTTATTAACCCATTGCCGCCGGGGATGGCATGTACGTACATGCCATGCCCACTGTGAGTCGGCTTGTTCGATTGTTTTTACACATAGATGGGTACACTTGTATTAAGTATCCAATGAGCCAATTACAGTACTGCCTGTCTCGCCCGTTCACCCTTTTCATCGATTTACGAAAATATTTAACGTTATCCTAATTTGCTGTTAGAAATAACACCATCTATATTTATAGCACTAGTAAAAATACGTTTTTTTCCCGCCAATTCAAGGAAAGGTGAAATCAGTACTAGCAGAGCCATCTATGGACAGGGACATTTCACAAAAATATAAAAAATGAGTACAGAATATCCCCCATTTTTTGTTCCTTTTCCCCGGCGGCAATGGGTTAAGCATAACTAATATATTAATAAAATAGTTATTATAATATGATATAGTCAAAATTATGTATGCCTAAACCTAAACATATATATTCATATCACATATGGTACACAGTGCATCACAGTATCTTAAAGTCCAGACTCCATAATACAGAAAGATGATTTTGCTGGGTAAGCTTAGATAGATGATATTTACCAACACAGTTATTTGGGCAATATATTAGGAGCAAACCAATCTGCTTCGAACTGCTTTACTTGGCCGACATTCGAAAGGAAAAGGAAATTAAATATTAATATATATATATATATTATAAATAAATAAATATATATATATATATATATATATATATATATATATATATATATATATATATGTATATATATATATATATATATATATATATATATATATATATAATATATAATATATAATATATACATACACACACACACACACACACACATATATATATATATATGCAAACACACGCACACATACACACACACACATACAGACGCACACACACACACATACAGACGCACACACACACACACACACACAACCACACACAGTGAATGAAGACGATGCGATGTCTTGGAGCAAGTAGGGTGACGTCGTGCGAACTGAAGATTCGATCATCCTCGGGCACACGCGCGCGCGCGCGCACACACACACACACATACATACACACACAATATATATATATACCCACATATATGTATGTACACACACACACACACATACACAGCTTTATGTTCATTATGTTGACAAAAACTGTAGAGTAACCGGTTTCACAGGTTTTTAGCATAGGGAAAATGAATGCCAGTTATTTGTGATCTGGTGCATTTATTACATATCATTTCTGGAGTGTTACCAGGGGTATAAAAATGTCATATAAAATATAATATAGTCGTATACATTTCACACTAAACCTAACCATTTATATCACATGTGCTACATAACAGTGTGTCATCACAGTATGTGTTTTCAACAATTCTTGGACCTTACAGTACAGAGAAATTCATATTTGCTTATCTTAAATCTATCAGTAAGGAATATCCATTTTACCAGATTTTCAAAGCTTGGGTTTCCCCGACAAACTGTATCTGCTTCCATAACCTACACCGCCACAGGCGTATCCCGAAAAACTTTTTACTAGCTGCACTGTTTTATTCGCCATTTCTCTGGTCACTTCCGGTGAAGGGAAAATGAGATCAAATGTTTCTTAATTACACAACCATAATCGATGTACTTTCCGAAATATTGGTAGGATTCCATTCTACATAATTAGAAAGCCACCTTAGATTAGTTAAAGCACTGCATCTCTTCCATAGCAATGCAGTTTTGACTGAAGCTGTAAACGCTGTCGCATCTCGGAGCATCCTCTCATTTGGCCATCGTGACGTTCTGAGTCCACGTTCCGGGGAGGATAAAGCCTTTCTGCTGCGCGGCGAAGACGCTCCCAGACTTGAACCAGTTCATCAGGAGTCCTTTGACGGCGGTTCCCACGCTCGGGAGGCCCTCGGGCGCCTCGCCGGTGACGATGAACGTCTTGCTGCGGACGCGAGTCAGCATGGGGACAGGCTCGTTCTTGCCGGATTGCTGCATCGTATTGCACTCAAGGTTGAACCTCACTGAAGGGCTGTGTTGAGAAAAATACATGTATATTATTTCATACTCCTTTCCCCAAATTAATTACATCAGATAGAATATGGTATGGCTGGACATGTCTGTTTAAGAAACAAAGTGGAATACATAGACATTAACCACAGACATTTGATTAATAATAATGTAACTTACCTGATTTAACAAGTTACGCGGAACTTCAGAAAAGGAGAAACTTGTTGATAAGACTTCGTTGTAGAGATAAGAAGTACTTCAGGTTTGACAAAACATGAAAGCACAGTTTCCAGCTCTTACGTTCTACCACAACGAAACAGTTGGCAATGCTCAGAAGCAGTTAAACCCCTCTTTATATACCCGGCCGAGGATTCGACGT